GGGGGCGTCCGGGGCACAGCTGGGGTGCGGGGGGCGTCCGGGGCACAGCTGGGGTGTGGGGGCGTCCGGGGCACAGCTGGGGTGCAGGGCAGCTGGGATTCAGCCCCATCTGCCCTGGACCCGATTGCCGCGTCCCTGGAACCTGAGCGCAGACGGACAGATTCCGGGGGAGGGGACCCGGGGGTCCGCGGGCCGCAGTTTGTTTGTTTGTTTGCTGTCGGCGATTTCTTTGAAAGTTGGATGCGGGCGGCGGGGAGGGAGCGGGGGCGGGCGGGAGGCGGCGCGGGGCGGGGAGGACGGCGGAGGGAGGAGCGGGAGGAGCCGCTGCAAAAATGACTCAGTAAGTTCGGCGGCCGCTCGGCCTCTGCGCCTCCGGTGCCAGCGCCCCGGGATGTATTCCTCCCCGCTCTGCCTGACCCAGGTACGCACCCCGCGCCCGCCTGGCCCCAGCCCGCACCCCGACTCCACCTGGAACCGCAATTTTGCAGATTGGAACCTCCCCTCCGCAGCGGGGGTGGGAAATAAAAAAGGCGCGCGTCCTCCTTACCCACCCCCTTCCAGGCCGGGGTGTTCCTGGCATGGACCTGCCGTGCGGGCAGCTCCTGAGATAGGGGATCCCTCCCGGGTTAGCTTGGCTGCGCACTTGGAACCCCGTGTTCTGGACCCCCGCTTTGATTTGAATTGGCTAACTGTTCTCGGGACGCTCCCATCCCTTCCCTCCTGGCTGGATGCGTGGGGGGAGCTGGTGTCCTCCCCACAGCCCTCACCCTTTGCCCCCGGGAAGCCTGGGGTCCTCTCCAGATGGAGAAACCGGGTGGGTGTCGGCAGGAAGCCCCCCACCCACCCGTGGGACAGATCTTGGGGTTCCCTGCGGCACCGCAGGTCTCCCTGGCTGTGGGGGGACGGGACCCCCCGGCTGTTGTTCACGGGTCCCCAGTTTCCCAGGTGCCCCCCCCAACCGGCCGTGCCCCCCTCCATTTCAGGCCCACGTGTGCGCGGGGGGGAGGGGCACACGAAGTTGGCGCGCGGGGGGGAGGGGCGGCCTTGCCCGTGTCCGTCGCGGGTCCCCCCCCTTCCCTGGCTCAGCTCCCCCCCAGCTCCGCATTGATTCTTGAATTATTGAGCCGAGCAGGCGCTGCCAGGCGGCTGGCGGGAGGAGCAGAGGCCGGGGTTGGAGGAGGAGGAGGAGGAG